GGCGGCGCGGGGGTCTGCGGGGAGCTTCGCCGCACGAAAGCATCTCCTCTGAGGGGAGCCGGGCTTGTGTAGGAGGCGGGGTGAAGGGACGGCGACTGAGCATGAAGGTCGAGAGGACCGAAGCGGCGAGGCTGAGAAGATTTTCCCTTTGGAAGGAGAAGGAAAAGGAGGGGCAACGGGAAAACGAAAGGCAGCTGAAACGGGTGCACTGGGCGCAGGGCACTGCCAGGGGGTTTAGGCAGGGCGCTGCAAGGAGCCGGCTGTGGGGAAGCGAGGCAGACGCTGGGATTTGCTACCGTAGTCTTGTCAGTGACTGTCCCCAAGGTGTGTTCCTTTGGCATCCCCCTCCTGATTGTTGGGGGATGCCAGTGGATGCATCGTTTAATTTGCGGTAACAAAACTAAACTTGAAGTCAAGAAGATTTAAGCCTTGCTTAAGTTTTCGAGTGCAGACTGTCAGAGCTGGATGATTTCTGTCCTCAGAATGACTGAAAACACTGCAATTTTTGTCGCGTGGAGAACAAGTTTGTGTTTGTCATTAGGGACCTGTCAGGTGAATAGTTAACCAAGTTTTAATATGAGTTTTGATCCACAGTTCAAATCAGTTTATTGAGCATTTGCAAAGAATGGAACGTTGCCCAACATAATTCTGAATTGGTAGATTCGGTGGTTTAGCTGAAAATCATTAGAGGGAAGAGTACCATTTTAATAGTAGGAATACAATCCATAAACTGTAATCACACAGATTTGTACGCCATATAATGCTGATGTATCTTGTTTATTTTAAACCACGTTATTCTGGTGTCAGCCTGATCCATAGTAATTCCATTTTTTATCTGTGATATTCAGAATTTCCTTCTCTTGTTGGTTTTTATCTTTTCCCTTAATTAAACTTGGACTGTGGCTCCTGCTCTGGTGATAAGGCAGCTGCATTGCAACTGCTGCTTCTTTTTGTTTAGCTGTAAGTGGTTTCTTTCTTGGAAGTTGACTTCTTTTAGGTACGGTGTGAGTAACATTTTTACACTCCTTAAGAAAAAAAAAAAAGCAGTTGTTGGGTTTTAGCAGATGATATGATTTAATGCCTTGAGCTTTTGTGTGTGTACCTGGCGTTTTGTTCCAAGTATTAAAAAAAAAAAAACCCCTTTAGAATTGAGAGGATTTATGAAGTTAGACGCAGAATGAGCAGCCATCCCGGCGGCCGGTCCAAATGTCAGATGTGGAATTAAAGTTGTTTAGCGATGCCTCTCAGAAAGTCCAGGAGTGGTCCTCTAGCAAATGATGTTTTAAAACTTTTTTGCTTGGCCAAGAGGTCGCAGCATCGCCGCGAGTTGCACGGTCCCCAGCGAGGTGAGGGGGGAAAAGCCGCTGCGGATGCCTGCAGAGTTTGTTGCCCTTCAGATTAAAAAAAATAACAAAGGGGGTCACTAATTTAAAATAAAACCGCAAACGCTGGAAGCTGCTGAGAGCCAGCCCCAGAAGTTGTTGGCTGCGGGGAGCCGGGCCGTCTCCCGGCGCGGGGCGGTCTGCAA